TAGCTCATCCACCCTTAGGCCAACATTCATCCTTTTCCTTATTAACCATCTACTCCTCCAAGGTTGTTCGTGGGACCCAGATATTTTTCCATATATATATATATATATATTTATATATATCCTTCCCATCCATCACCAACCATCTTACTTTATTAAGTCTCTTCCTTCCAAAATACTCGACCATCCCTCCCCTACTTGCCTCAAGTGTTGAACAATTTGGAAAGTAAATGGATTTTAACAATTTTCTTTGGCACTTTGAAAAGACTCATTGTATATGTGGTATAGCAGTCGCAACAGCTTTTATCAACACTCTTTCACCCCCTTGATTGAGCAGGCCCTGCTGCCATGTTTACAACCTCCTTAGCACTATTCTTTTAGAAAACTCATGGCCTCATACTTAATTCTTCCCTAATAGGAAAGAATACCTAAGTACCAGGATTTCCTACAGTTGGTATCTTCAGGCATGCTACCAAATCCTCTTTAACCAGCGTAGGTGTATTGTTGCTAAAGACTATGCTTGACTTGCTAAGGTTAAACTTCTGACCTGACAGTTCAGAATATAGATGTAACATACCGTAAAAACTTTCACAAATTTTCTTGTTAGCATTCCAAGAGAACAAAGAATCATTAGCAAACAGAAAATGAGACAACATAGGACTCCCTTTCTAAGTTTAATGCCATTAATTTGCTTGGCATCCTATAGCTGTATGAATCATCTTGGACAACACATCAATCACAAATACAAAAAGGTGAGGAGATAAAGGATCTCCTTAATTGAGACCTCTAAAAGGACAGAACCTAGAAGTATACTTACAATTGATAACCAAGTAGTAAGAGACTGAAGCTACACATTCCATGATCCAACTAAGCCATTTCTCATAAAAACAGTTTGGTAAGGATAGCTTTTAAAAAGCTCCATTCAACCCTATCATGTGCCTTGTTCACGTCAACTTCAACCCCCGTCTCATCCTTTTTCCCCTCTTTTTTCAGCCTTAGGTAATGGAAAGCTTCATTTGCTATCAACACATTATCTTGAGTCTGTATGTTTTCCACAAAAGCTGCTTGGCTCTATGTAATTAACCTCTCCATATGGGTTTTCAATCTATTTACAAGAACCTTCGAGATTAATTTATAAGTAAAATTGCACAAGCTTGTAGGTCGAAACTGTGGTACCTCCTCCCTCAGGCTTTTTCACTTTTGGAATAAGGACAATGCTAGTCTGGTTTAGCTCTCTCAACATTCTTCCTCTTTTAAAAAAACCATTACTATCTTTACCATCACCTCTACCATCACCTCTTCTCCAATAGTTCTGGTAGAACACCCATTAAATCCATCTGGCCCGGGGGACTTCATAGCTCCAAGTTGAAAAGCAGCTTGCATTACCTCATGCTCCTTTATGTCAACTGTAAAAGCGTTGTTCATATCATCATTTACTAATTCTGATATATTGTCCAATACATACCTGTAGTCCCTTTCTCTTTGTGACTGGAAAAGATCAACATAAAATCCCTAAAATCTCTTTATTATTTGTTCCTCATCATTTATCCACACTATAATATCTTCTTTTAGACACAAAATCTTATTCTTCTACCTTCTTTGGATTATAGATTGGTGAAAAAATTTTGTATTTTGATCACCATATTTCAGCCACTTGATCCCTGATCTCTGGTACATGTACTTCTCTTTTCCACGGCAAACTTAGCTCCTCTACAAATTTATTCACTTTTGCACATGCCTCATCATTAACCTCTGAATCCTGTATTGCAACAATATTTCCTTTTATCACCTCAAAAGCTTTCCTATTATTTGGAAAAACTTGTTTACTCCATTTTAGTAGTAAATTCCTACATCTCTTTAATTTCTGAACCACCTGATAAGCTCTACTACCTTCAAACGAAGCACACCACCCATCCTTTATTACTTGGCAACACTCTTGATGTTCTGTCCAATAAATTTCTAATTTGAACATTTTTTGCCCCTTTTATCACAATAATTTGAATATACCAGTACATAAGCATGATCAGACCTTATTATAGGAGCATTAAAGACTTGGGTTCGTGGAAAATTCTTAATGCACTCCACATTTGCAAGAGCTCTATCCAATCTTTGTTTGACAAGGTTACCATCTCTATTTCCTAAAAAAAAAAAATGGTTACCATCTCTATTATTCAACCAGGTAAGCCTTTGCCCCTAGAAAGGTAAGTTTATCAAGAGCCATTGATTTATCATTTGCTTAAAATTTTTAATCTTTCTTGTCTCCTTTATCTCCCCCCTTCTTTTTCATGAAGAAACAGTATGTCATTAAAATCTCCAATGCATAGCTACGGTCCTCTTACTAACACTAATTTGTCACAAGTCATCTTTCATACCTTCTTCCTTTCATCATAGTCCAGATGAGCATAAATCATAAGATTCTACATCCAACTCCGATCCCATCCTTAAAAATGTCTATATTAATACAATTTTCACATGTTTTTACTATAATGACACTGACCCTTTCATTCTACCAAAGAGCAAGACCCTCACTCAATCCAACTAGATCCACGTACTCCCTACTTGTAAATTTTAAACTTCTCCTTAACCTTTCTTGTTGTTCTTCCTGGTTTTAAGTTTCCATAAAATAAAGCATATTTGGATCATTTTTCTTTCTTAGTTCATGAAGAGCTTGAGCTGTCAAGGCTGATCCAACACCTTGATAGTTCCAAGATATAAGCTTAGGACAGCCACCCAAAGCTTCAGCTTTGTTAACCTTCTGACCAATTTCCTTACTTTCTTCCTCACTTTCTACATCATTTCCTTCCACTCTTCCACCTTGAACTCCACAATTCTTCATACTAAATTTATTTTTTTTTACAAACCTTCTCTTATTCTGAATAATCCTCCACTGTCTCCTACCCACTTCATTTTCTGCTGCTTATCCTTTTCTTGTCTTTATTTCTTCTTCCTTTAAAGCCAATCTTCCTATCATTTCTCCATACCCTTCAATCTTTTACCTATTATGAGCCCGATCTATCCCCGTATTTTTCACATTTTCTTCATATACCCTTTTAATATTCAATCTTTGGAAAAGTCTAGCTAAATTTATACTCTTACAACCCTCAGATTTTTGCTTAAACCGACAATTCAACAATATAAGGTTTATGACTTGATTGTGGTTCGTAAGGTTTACCTTCATTTGAAAGAGTCTTAGTGACTTCAACAACGTCTTCTTGTAGTTTGAGCTGCGAGGTTTCCTTACACACCACTTTTTCTTCAGGATGAGAAAACAATACCATTTGAGCCCTTTTATTGTTACCCATACCCATTCCACATCTGAACATTCAATAACTGCATTACACCCTTCATCAGTATCCCTTTGAATAATTAATCAAACTAGAGACACATACTAGTTATTTTCTTTTTTTTTTTTTATTTTCTTTACTGGCCTCTTTTTGTTCTTTTGGCTTTCATTTGTCCATGTCACTCATCCTACTGTTATTTTTCTTGCTTCTGTGCGTAACTACTTTGGTCAACTCCTCCCATCGTTAGTTATACTTCCCGCCCAAATTTGTAACTGTCTGAACCCCTATCCCACCTTACAATTTTTCGCGCCCTTCCCTTCTCTGTTCTTTATGCACCACCTCTGCCTGTCACTTCTATTTTGACTCTACTCCACTTGTTCGTGAGTACTCCACCTTTATAAAAACAAGCTCCTTCACTGTTTCTCGCAACGTCCCACTCACAAGGTTAAAACAATACTAACCAGCATCCCACTCAACCAGATAGGTGAATTAAATTAACATAATAGAGTTTGGATTAAAATAATACATTATTTAAAAGTTTAGATTCAAATTTTACATTTTATTTTTTTAAGTATCCATTTATACATTTTCTTAAAATTCAAGTAAAAAAAAAAGTAATTAACTCAATTGAGATTCCTTGTATGCTAATATGAAAAATATTGTATAACAACTTTAAAAAAATTTATATCACAATTTAAAAGTCTTTGCAACAACTAAATCTATTGGCAAGGAAAATATAAAAAGAAGGAAAATTTTATCATTTTTTTCCACAAATTATGATATGAATTCCACATCCCTTAAATTGTTTAATAAACTACTAGCCTTGTGCAAACCCACTATGTGGATAAAGCAGATAGACTTTTGATCATTTAAATAGATATTAAAAATTAGAAAGGATTTTATAATTATCTTAAACTGTAAAAGAAAACAAAGTAAAATAAATACACATACATGTTTTTAAGATGGATAAGTGGATTTTAAAATCTTCATTCCCACTTTACAAAAGGAAATTACCATTATAACTTTATGAATATATATTTTATTGTATAATTTTTTTTTGTCATTAATTTTTCCAACTAAGTTGGTGACAAGAATCAATTGATACCAACTCAATCAGAAATTTTATAATTAGTATAGATGGCATCGGTTAAATTTTTTTGGGATCTATTTTCCTTTTACTAAATGGTATTATTTTTAGTTGTGTTTCTAGGTTTTTTTTTTTCTTTCACAATTTTGTTGTTTCTAGTTTTACTTTTAAATTATGTTTGATACGCAAGATTATGATAAAATAAGATAAGATGATTTTATAAATAAAATTAAATTAAATAATATCATCTTATCTTATATTTGATGTATGTAAAAATTAAGATAAAATAATTTATTGATTAATCAAAATCATTTTTTTTCAAAATTTATAAAATTTAAATTATTGATATAAAATTTAAGATATAATAAGACACATAAGTTTAATCTTATTAATTAAAAATAACTCTTTTCACTTTGAAAAAATTAGATCATCCTATACCAATTTGGTGATAATCACATTGTAATCTTATCCTTTTTAATGATATGCAAACTAAATATAATATAAAATGATTGTCATACTATTTTATTCATCATTTTATGCACCAAATATAATTTTATGCTTTTAAATAAAATAATACTAATATTGTAATTTTCTTTTTGTCTTCTTTCCTTATAAAATTTATTTTATCAATAAAAATTATGTATTATTTACCCACAAAGTCCGTTTACGTACATTAGACTGGTAGGAAAGCAATATATCCATAAATTGGGAGTCCCAAGAGCTATAATCACAACAAAATAGATAAAATTTCGGATTTCAATCAAACTTTGATGGTTAATATCATAGAATATGCCAGAATGAATATATATATATATATATATATATATAAACATATAAGCGACAATTTTATTGAAAAATTTATTGACAACATAATATTTAAAAATTTTATTGAAGTTCGATCAGCATATAATTTAACAAATAATGGTCTACGAATACATTGCTTTGTATACTTTTACGAATTGAACTATATATCTATTTTTGATAAACTGGATACCATGTCCGAACGTGGAAATTCGGTCTTCGAACTGCTGCAGGTATAGTTAATTTTGGCAATTATGTCTGGCGACTATTTCACTGGAAAAAGGATAACAACAATATTAGGAAAATACCGTCAAGTTATGAACTGAAAAGAAAAAGAAATGGAAACAATTGCCTTTACCGAAGTAGTCGAATTAATTGAGCAGCCCTTAAGAAATCGCCTTGTTCTCGCGCCTTCAGGATATTAAACATCAGACACAGACGGAATTTAGTGTTGGCACTTTGTCGGATAATTTGGTTAGTTTCCTGCCTGAGCTGCTCGCATTCTTCTTCGACTGCTTTGAATTTTTCTCGAAGTAGCCTTTGCCCTTCCTTAATGCTTGCCTGCTCTTTGCTGATCTCTTTCATCTCTGCTTTCAGCCTTCTAAATCTTTTCCTCATATCTTTAGCTGAATTCGTTCTCTTAATTCCCACACAGTTAAACAGTCCACATCAATAAGAAACAGCCATAGTAATAATTTGCAAGAGAGTAAAATATATTTCCTAAAATTTAATACTATATACATAACAAAAGATTAAAATCTAATGCCATATACCAAGACTACATAATTTTCTCCTACATTTAAATTGTTTTCTAATATAACAAATATATAATTTTTTTTCCCATGCATAGAGTATGCATGATTGAAATATATAATTTTTTTTACCATGCATACTCTATGCATGGTAGAACTTTATATTTTTTCATATATAAATTTTATAAATAAATCACTTAACAACTAGATAGACCATGCATAACTTCTCAAAAACAACAAGATAAACCACGCATTAAAAGTTTTTTTTTTTTCTTTTTGATGTTTTGAAGTTGTTTTCGAAATTTGAAGATTGAAACTAAGATTTCAATACACAATTTTGACAATCATGCATAAAAATAAAACAACATAAATGTCATAATTTTTTCATGAATAAAATGCGGTAAAAGAAAATTGACATAGAAAAGGGAAAAAGGAAAACGAAAATATGAGAAGCAAACCATTATGATTAAGAATATGAAAGGAATGGGAGGCTACATACCTTTTTCCCTTTACGCAAGATGAAGCTATCTTTTGGTTGCCCCCATTGATCGAAAACCAGGAAACAGAAATCTATGCTAAATATATAGCGCTTTGTCAAGTCCGTTGCGATTAAATTCCAGTCAACTTTCTTACACGCGTTGGCAAACGCAACCACCAATAGTTAGCGGCTGCGTATTAATCAATGCTCATCGCGCGATTGTCGAAAGATTCCCAGCCGACATGGTCCTGCTCGCACGGTATTCCACCTAGTTACTTTCTTAAATAAAAAATTCTAATATTTCATAAAACAATTATTTTTAATAGTAATATATTCTCTTTATTTTTACCCCAAAAAAAAATCTGCTTCAAGAAACCTCCAGAATTTAAAATTAAGCTTCCAGATTCTATTTTTCTTTTAATTTCCCTGAAACTCCTTGACTTTTCTTCTTATTCTTATTCTTCTTCCACTGAGTTTACGGGACTCTTACTGAGTAAATGGATAATTTAAGGTGAGATCTCCATACAATTTCTACAAATTTAAAGTAATTAATGACGAAATCTAACATAACAGTCAAAATAAACAAAGCTTGGAACTAATCTTTATATGGAGAAAACTCAGATTCTTACATACCCGAGTTGTTGATCGAAATCTGGTCATCCATTCGAATGCAAATTGAGGGTGATCAGGATCCATCGGCTTCCCTGACCATTACTCTATCAGGTGGCGATGGGCAGCAGATCAAACCTAAAAAGGAGAAGAGAACGAAAAACATCAGATAAGAAACGGAGAGAACAGTGAAAGACGGATCAGAGACGCGAGGAGAAGGAGAAACTTATAGAAAAAGAAAAGGAGAAAGAAAAAAGACAGGACAAATACCCAACAGGCAGGCTAAAATTCAGGAACTAGACTTGAGACCGAAAAAACAAGTTCCATAAAATTGCCACGGTCCCACTACTCACTGTACTCATTTAAGCAAATGCTCTTTTTAGCCAAAGAACTCATATAATAATACAATATTAGTTAGGTCCACACCCACTATCTATATCCGCTAAATGGCTGAAATAATAAATAAAAATTATTCAAAAGAGGAGAAAGAATAAAAATATTACAATTATGAAAAAAATACATAAGCGAACAATTTATTTAGAAGCGAGAAAAAAAATAAAAGGAGTAATAAAATTTGATAATTTGTATATTTTTATTGTATTTTATATTATATGTAAATATAAACATGATACAAATAATTAAAATAAAAATACGATATAAATAATTAAATTAATTAAAATCTTAAATACGAATATGATATATTATTATATGTGTTATACATAATAAAATATAATTATCACTTATAAAAATATTTTGTTTAAATTTAATATAAAATAATTAAATATGATTAATAAAATTATGAAAATTAATATTTAAAAAAAATTTATTCATTAATAAAGTAATATATTTAACTCTTTAACAAAAAAATATTTGATTTACTAACAATATAAAAAATTTATATGTTAATAGTACAATAAGTATAAATCCATATATTTTCCTATAATTTGTTTTATGAATTATTGAAGGGGTAATTAAGTGGGAATGTAAAAAAAAAAATTACTTAAATTGTGGTTAATACAAGTTAATACTTTTTGTATAAGCATTAATTTATAGTTTTTGTGAAAAATCCAAATGCACTTGCATAATTTAAAATTTTTTTAAAAATGTTAAGAATCAAACACATTAGATCTTTCACCAAATACAGATAACAAAACAAAATTATAAAAACATCTATGGAAAAAGAAGCTTAAATATTTAAGTGCCCTAAATGACTTTAAAATATTGTAATTTCTAATCTCCCATTGTAAGAGAATTAATATATAATTCATTGTGATTTTTGAGCCAAGATTCTATTCTTCAGCCAATGTTCCCACGCAATTGTGTGCAAGTCATGAAGCAATTTCTTCCATATTAAAAATCTTCTTTAACATTAATTTATGCAAACATATACGCGTATAACTTGGAAATGCTAATTAAGTTATCGTCACTGCTTAAGGAATAGAATAATATGCAAAGACCAAGTCTTATGGTTGATGTAAATGCTCAAACTTGATCTGCAAGGATGGTAAAATAATCTATATTTAATAGATTTTGATAAGTTCCAATTTGGTAAGGTCTGATTTTTTAAATCAAAGGTCGTGTTTAGTTACTTTTTTATTAAGTTGGTTCTGTGTTAGAATTAGGTTTTAGGTTGTACCATTTCGATTGGATCCAAGTATATGTAAAAAATATATTTTTTGTTATTTATTTAATTTTATATTTATACATATATTATATTAATAAAATTATTATTTAATATCTTAATTTATGACATTAACTTAATAAAATACTATTTTTTATATATAATTAAATATAATTTATATTCAAAAATAATATTTTATAAATATTATACTAAATTATAATTATTGAATTAATTTTGCATCAGATCGATTACAATTTATGAATATACGAATTAAATTGAATCAGATAATTGTCTCAGATTGAAATCGGATCAAGCAAAAACTTATCCAAACTTGACCTTTTATCATCATTATATACCTTATTCCTTATACCTTATGGTATAGAACTAGATGTTGTTGTTGACTTTTGTTAAGAGTATAATAAAATTCTTAGGTAAGCTTAAGGTTTTTTTAGGTTAAATATCCAAATTAGGACTAAATATTTAAGGTATTGCTCAATTTAAAATTAAATATATTATTTTATCTAATTGAAGATCAAATATTATTAAATTTGTTCAAATCAAAATTTTTTAATAGAAATGATGTATATTTGTTGATAACTCATTTAATGGTAATATTTAAAAATATATAATTAAAAATAACAGTTGATAATAAAAGTTTGACTCATAAAAATGAAATTTGAAGATCTTGATATGGCAGCAGACATGACAGGAATATGAGATCGAGATAATACTTGATTCAATAAAATTTGAAGATCAATGATGAAAATTGTAATGGTCTCAAAATAAGACTCAAAAGTGTTTGGTTTAGTGGTTGTTGCCGCATTAGTCTTGTTAGTGTAAAGATCATGAATTAGACTACCATTATAATGATATTTCTGAATGAGATGATTAGACCTCCCGTATTGTGAACAAGACTTGTGAAAAGTAAAGCTAGTACTTTTCGAGGAGCAACAATAACAATAGTATCAATATTATGAGCTCGACTCATATCCAATTAAGTTTCCTCAGTTATCAATTCCATAAGAGCATTATCCATAGTTATTAAGGGATGTTGGCACAAAAGTGAAGGCTTGGTATTCTTAAATTCATCTTAAAGTGTCATTAGAAATTGAATAAGACAAACTTGATTTTGATATGTAATAAAATTATTAGCATCACGGTTGATTTGTTGAATCTTCAGTCTATAGAATTTCCAAACATATTTCAAAATGTGCATTTTAAATGAAATCACTTCAATTACTGACCTTATGTTCTTGACAAAAGTGATATAAAATGATCAAAATATGATATTGATGAGCAAGAATAGTAGAGCCATACCGTGTGATAAAAAAATTTTAAGTATCTTTAACAAGTTCAAATAGCCCAAAATGTACATTGATAGAAAAAATAGTGGTGTTAGTGAACCATATCAGAATTCAATGATTCTTACTTTCTCATTCCTGTCATAACGTCTAGATCCGGGGATCTATCGCTAAACATTGACTAAGGGTCGCCCCCAATCTTTTTTTAATCTAAGTGATTAGCAACCTTAAAGAATCTGCCTTTCAAGGGAACACCTAAGTTTAAAGGTCCCTAAAAGAATAGGTTTAGTCTACTAACCAGAACAGAGTTCGGGAGTCGTTCTTGTGAAGGAAGTGTTATAGCATACAACGCCATAAAAAGATACCAGCTTCAAATTGGTATCAATGAGCTTTAAAGTTTTTACATAATTAATTATGGAAATATTCTCAAATTGATCTATTTTTAACAGAATAATTAAAATTCTCACCTCAGTTAAGCCATAAAGAATACTAGCTTCACTGCAGAGTAATCTTCATTAGTTAAGGGAAAAATCAACAAATCAAAATCATGATAGAAAGAAGCAAGGAGGTTGTTCTTCTTGTGTAAGAAAATATACTTTCAACTTTTCCCCAAAAATATTTTTTTTTTTGGAAACTTTGATTTTCAAGAAAAATTGATACTTTCAACTTTTCCTCAAAAATATTTTTTGAAAACTTTGATTTTTAAGGAAAATTGATACTTTTAACTTTTTCCCAAAAATATTTTTTTGATTTTTATTTAAAGAAAATAAAACAAAATAAAAGTAAAAATAAATAAAGATAAAAAAAATAAAGAAAAGTAAAACAAAAATAAAGATAAAATAAAGATAAAAATTTTTTAATAAATCTAATCTAATAAATAAAAAAATAAATAAAACAAATAAACAAATAAATAAAAAATTTTCAAAAAAAAAAAAAAAAACCTGAAGCGACTCGACTATCAGCTCGGCTCGACTCAAGGAAGAAAAAACGGCTTGGGGGAGCGACTTGGAAGCTCGGCTCGGCTATCAGCTCGGAGGGGGGTACACGTGTGGGTCAGGACGCGGGTCGACGCTCGGGTTGGGTCAGATCTCGATAAAACGAGCGGATCCTCTGGGTCACTTAAGGCCAAAACGACGTCGTTTTGGGAGGGTATATAAGGCTCTTCCCTCTGTTTTTCGGCAGAACGTTCTTTTTTTCTCTCTCTTTTTTCTTTTTTCTCTCGCGTCTCTCTAAAAAGCTGAAGAACTCCGGTTGAATGTTCACCGAATTCTGAGATTTTTCGTCGGAATCTGGAATTTTCGTCGGAAGTTCATCAAAAGTTGGTCGGTTTCTGGGATCTTTCGTCGAAAACTGGGCAGCTCGCCGGAAACTTCAAAGTTGGCCAAAATTTTCGTCGAAAAATTCAAGTTTTGCCAAAAAATTCAATCGAAATCTAGAATTTTTCAGAAATTCCCAGAAAAAAATGCCAAAAATCTTCAAAAAAAATTTTTGCTAATTCCCAGAACACCTCAAAACCTTTCTTAGCCTCCTATACACCCCTTATCTCTCAATCAGTAGCTTTTGCTTACTGTTTTTCTGTGTTCTACTTCTGTTCCAAGAGGTCCCTTTTATAAGGATTGATCAGGAGTTTCTGATCAATCCCAATTCCTCTTTGGATGGGGATTCAATCTTTGAGTCCAATCTGGACTCTAATTGATTGAATCCCAATCCAAGTCAGATAAATCAAAAAAGGAAAAAAATCAAAAGAAAATAAATCAGATAAATCAGGAAACTTAACAGATAATTAAAATTAAATACATAATCTGATATACAAAAATATTAACAAAAAAAAAAAGATATATACATATTAATAAATAAGTAAATAGCTAAAATAAAAAGAAAAAAAGAAAAAAAATAATAATAAAAATAAAATAGAAATAGAATAAAAATAAAATAAAAAAATAAAATAAAATAAAATAAAAACGAAAATAAAATAAAATAAAATAAAATAAACATATACCTACCTATTTGGGCCAGGTCCAATTGATCCAGGCCTGGATCAAATTGGGTGTCTACAGCTGTCCCTCTTTGCACATTTTTTGTGAAACAGAAATTACGCAAAGACGTAAACACCCAATCAAGACTCAACTCAATATTTTAATTTTTTTTTGTTTTTTGACCAAAGCTCCTTTAAGCAGAAGCTCAACGACTTTGAGAAACATAAATGGCTCCTCTAATCAGAGGCTCAACGACTTTGAAAAATAAATTGCTCCTCTAAATAGAGGCACCACGACTTTGGAAAAATAGAGGCACCACGACTTTGGAAAGTAAATTGCTCCTCGACAATCATGTCCAAAGGAGTTGAAAGTTGTGTTTGAAGGAATTTCAGGAGATTATGTCCAAAGGTCTTATAAATCAACCCTGATACCAAAAGACATCCTATTTCAAGGATTAGGAACTTACTTGACAAGTTTCTTCTCAAACTTGCAAAATATCTTCATATCTGTCTTCTCTATGT